AATACCAATATAGAACGCGGTCTGCCGGAAGCCTGAAGGAGTATAAATGCATTTGTGAATATTTGTCGTAATTCTCTTAATATCTCATGCACAATAGATTTGTGTATAAATTAATCATCATTTGTTTTACATAATGATTTATTATATTTACGCGAACACTACATTTATTAAAACTACTTTTACGGATTTTATCGCGTTTAATTTTACTTTAAATTATTTTTATTTTTAATTCCCGACGTTTCGGGTGCTTTCCAGCACTCATAGTCACGGGGGACTGAGGTGATTGACGTCCCAATGTCATTTTTAAACCCGGAGTACCTTCAGCTTTTTTAATTATTGTTTACGGTCCGATCTATGCAAAATGAGCTGATTATGTCCTGAGGTCTTGCAGTGGTATGCTTGGGTTTAGTTTTAATTTTATTGATTATAAATATAAGATGTGATATACTTAGATATATAATATAAGTTCGGTTCCCACGCCTACGTCACAGTGACCGATTGAAGCTGGCCACAGTCGAGCGTGTGCCTGCTGTACTACCATATGTCAGAGGTGTCACAGACAAGATTGGCTACATCTTGAAGCGAGCTTCTATTAGAACATTCTACAAGCCGCCGAAGAAGATTAGTCAGTTCCTGCCATCCGTCAAGTGTCATATTCCTCTACAAGATGCAGGAGTGTACAAGCTTGATAGTGAATGTGGTCTCTCTTATATAGGACAAACAAAAAGATCTATTAGAACCCGCTTAAAAGAACATATAGCTGATGTGAAGCATCAACGTTCCGGGAAGTCTGCAGTTTGTGATGATATCCTAGACGGCCCTAACCATTACATTAGTTTTTATAGACCACAAATCCTCACGAAAGAACACCGATTCCTACCAAGGATGATACGTGAGGCTATTGAAATTAAAAAACATCCTAATTTCAATAGAGTATTACTATAATCAATAAAATTAAAAATAAACCCAAGCATACCACTGCAAGACCTCAGGACATAATCAGTTCATTTTTCATAGATCGGACCATAAACAATAATTAAAAAAGCTGAAGGTACTCCGGGTTTAACAATGACATTGGGATGTCAGTCACTTCAGTCCCCCGTGACCATGGGTGCTGCAAAGCACCCGAAACGTCGGGTATTAAAAATAAAAATAATTGAAAGTAAAATTAAACGCGATAAAATCCGTAAAAGTGGTTTTAATCATCATTTGTTTTATTCTATAACAAGGCAGAAGTGTCTTTTAATAGAATGCACTACAAATGTCCATACTCTAATAAGTGACTTAACTATTTAAGCAATAAATCATTGTATTTATTTTGATCGATAGCCGTTTCATCATGCACATGATATGTGCGCCAGATTAACTATCCTTTCACAAAAACGTTAAAAACCTCATTTTTTGGGGGCCTGCCATTTTATTGTAAAAAATCTTTACCTGCAATAATCCGCCTTTATAATAGCGATTACTGATAATTTTCCTCTTGATGGAAGAGAAATGTATGTCTGTTAATTTATAGGCTCATGAGGATATTGTTTTGCAATTATTGTACTTTTCCAATCATTGTTTACAGATCTTAACCCTCAAGAGATTCACAAGATCAGAGAAGCTATCAAAAATGCTTCATCATTGCAAGAGGTCGAAAGGTTGACTAGGATGCTGCAATCAGGGCAAATTCCCGGACAGAAGCCTTTACCACCACCTACACAGACCAATGGTCAACGTAAGACTGACATATTACTCTAAGTATATTTTTCTTTTGAGAAATTAGTGGGCAACCAAATGTAGGTGTAAGAAAATCCACTTGCACATAGCATCAGGTGGATGTCATTAAAGAACACGAGGAAAATCAGTCAAGAGATGGACAGCAGCGTGTTCCTGAGAACAGAACAATAAACAAACTGCAGTTACCAACGAGCCTATGTTAAGCTATGTAACATACAGTAGTGAACCTGTGATGATGATGGTTTTTTTAAGTGATAAGGTTGACAAACAAGCACACAGTCCACCTAATGGTAAGTGGTAGACATCTACATTCATCCTCGATTACGAATCAAACTGTAGATCCGTTGTCACCCATGGTAATGTAGATGGAATGCCTCATGTCTACTAAAAAGGGTCACCGGTACTCTTCACTTACCATACGAAACACTGCTGTGTTAAGCTGCTATTTTACGCCGGTATTCTCTGAGAGTGTGGTTCTTCCATTTGTGCTACAACTATACTACTAATATAGCTGCAGCACAGCTCTACTACATACAAATCAAATAAAACCAATTTTAAGTTACTGATATTAGCACATGCATTGATGAAGTTATAAAATAAGAAAATCGAAATATTTAAATCATATATCCATTTCTTACATTGATTTTATGGTTTCAGAAGATGAAGATGAAGAAATGGAGACTGATCAAGGGGGAAATAACTAAGAATACTCCTACCACTGAAGTCTTTTTATACTAGCTCTAAGAACAGATATTACATACTATATCTCATTGGTTACTTATGTGTGTTATCTTTAAATTCACACATTTTTGCTGTAAGAACAGATAATACATGGTTTTAATAAAATGGTTTTCCCATTTTTATTGAGGTGATAAGAACAGATATAAAAAGTCGGCATATTTTGCTACAAAAAACAGATACTACAACTACAAATGATTACCTAAAATACAATGAATATTGTCTTACTATTATTGTTTACTGTTGGACATAGACTTTTCTTCGCGATATCCATCATGTCAGTGTATTGTTATCACGGTACACTTACTAATATATTTTTACAGGATAATGAAACTATAATACCAAACTAAAAAATTGAAAATTACTTGAAAATTAAATCTTCCTGGCATTTCTTACTACACAGCTGGATAAGATAAGCTTTTTGGTTATCCTAACTTACAACATAAAAAAAAACGGTTCCCAATCCGTCAGCTCAGCGTGGCTACAATGGCAAATATCGCCCGTATGAGGTAATCTAAAGCGAGGCTATTAAGCAGTTGTCTCCTTAATATAGGCAACAATAATGGCTATTCCGCTATCCATGAATCAGATGAAAATTCTAGTATGGAGATTTTTTTAAACTTTATGACTGTTAGCAGACATTTAAATAATAGTAGTAATAGATTGAACATCAGCAACAAAATGGTCATCTGTTGCTTTTGCTTATGGTATATATTTCAGATTTATGTCAATTAGTCTTAGTGACATCGTCAGAAGATCAAGACGCATTTATTTCCTAAATTTAAAAAATATTTTTTAAAGAAAATATCCCTGATTGTGCATTAAGGTATTGTAAGGCCCAATATGGAGCAAAATCTGAATGTGATATCGCTTTGTTATCGCAAGTATAATGTATATTTAACCAATAATTTTTAAATTTTATTAATTCTGGTAGATTGTTTTAGAATATTTATCATTATAGTAATAAACGCCCTCTGTTATCCAGTAACGTCACTATCTATTTACCAAATGAGTTAGTGATTGACAAAAATTAAAAAAAGGATCGATTTGTGTTATTGATAAAAATATTATACAGGTGCCGATTTAATCATCTATAATGTTTGACTGACAAGGTAAAATAGTAAATGATATCCATACAAAAAAAGAAATCGGGTGGGCCTTTGTCGCGGCACACGGCCCTTAGTTTTAACGTGGAACGTCTACGTCAACCAGTTCAATCTGTCAACAAGATATTATTTTTTAAATATTTTTTAAAAAGGAGTAAGCTCGTTCTTTGAAAGTCCCTAAGTCGTATCGGTCCGTAAAAATCACCGATGGTAAACGATTCCAGAAAGTATTCGTGCGAGGAAAAAAACTCCTAATAAATCGCACAATAGTGGACCGCCATGCACCCAAATATGGATGGTAACGTTAGTTTTTTCGCGATGTGTGTTGGAAAAGTTTGGTGGCTGGAATTAATCCCAGCAATTCCTCAGAGCACTCCCCGTGGTAAATACGATAGAAAAAGCGAAGGGATGCAACATCTCTATACGCAGCGCCAGTGAATCGAGCCAATCTAAAAGAACTCGGTCATCGACGATTCGATTCGCTATGCGCTCTTTGCGATCGAGTGGAAGGAGCTCGCACTGGGAGCCCCGGCCCAGAGATGAGAACAGTGTTCCATGTGCGGCTGCGCTTTGTAAAGTTGCAAACGGTGTTGCATGAAATACTGTCCCGCTCTACTGAGTACGCTAAGCTTTTTAGAAGCCAATTTAGCTTTCTCTTCCAAGTGACCACGACACTGCAGGTCATTCGATAAGTCGACGCCGAAGATTTCGATATTGGCTGCGAAAGCAAGGGAGTTAAGTTTTGTCGGACAAACAGGTTTTTTTAGCGGTAAAAACGCGCAAACTTGTGAGTGGTTTGTATATTGATTTATGGTATAACGACTTTTCTTTTAAGGTAGTGCTTTCCTAAAATATGTTAGATTTAAAGTGTGTTTTTGTAAAAGGAACGAATTTCAAAAACATAGAGGCGCTCTCTTACTGGATTTGACGTTTCTCGATGCGCTTTAGACGTCGGTCGACGGATCATATTATGCTATTATTATAGCGTCTAATGGACCGAGTAACGCCATCCAGGATGCCACCAATGTGTCTTTTGAATTGATTCTTAGTTATTATTGGAAATTAAATATTTTATTTCATGACACTGAAATTACATAAAAGTTTATGTGATTTTTGGTATCATTCATATTCCTTATTATTATATCGTAAATTCGTAAAGCATTTCAAACTTATTGACTATTAGTTAGGTACACCAAATTGATTAAACTAAATAAAATGGTAAGAACTCACACAAGTCTTGATCCGAATTTCTTATACTTTAATCACGCATTCTTTGCAGAGGGTAAATTTCGAAAACAATATAACATCAACATAGTTCTGCCGTCGACGTCGGGAAATAATTTTAATATGAATAAAACATTTACATTATGTACGTTCGTTTTATTTCAATAATCTTTCATATTATTATTCAATTACATAAAATTAAGTCAGTTACATAAGTTTAAACAATTTACAAGCTTTAGAATATAACAGTTCATCATTTCCGGCATCTAAAAAAACTGTATAGACTGTCGGCAGCAAAATAGAGCGCCCCATCAGTTCTTTTATTGTTGGTCGTTTGTCGGGTACGATAGATAACATTAGGTCTATAAGGTCTTGAACACCTCTGTCGTAGACAGTCATGTCAATCGGATGTACACTACCACTGGTTATAACTTTCACTAATCCCACGAGGCTCTGAAAAGCATATCACATCATTAAGCTTTATTAGTTTAGGATAATCTATCTTTAAGTGTTCTTTGCTTTAATAAAACAGTTCTCGTAATAATCATCATAACCCAGGGGATGTGTAACGTAATTTCAAAATTTGCGATACGTGAAATAGTAAATTGCAATTTTAAGCTCCAATTTTAAATCAGAAAGAGTTCTGATGAGCTTTTGTAATAATTTATTTTTAGTGACGTAATAAAGACATCCATCAACCCATTAGCCCAGTGATCTTAAGACAGACACACACATACCAAAAACTGTTTTGGCTTCCGATAGAAGTATTTACGCGGTAAAGGTGGATAAGATCGCCTTTGAGGTGGTGTCCCTAAAAAAATATTAGAAAACATAACGCTTCGAACTATTCTGGTCACCGAAATAGAACCTATTTTGTTAACTATGGTTCACTCGCAATTCTTTTTAGGTTCAAATGTGGCAAGGCTCCTCATTAGACTATAAGGTGATATAATAATGACTTGTGATTGTGATGACTAATAAGAGAGATTGAATAATTTGCTATTCGAAATGAGTTTGATGGTTGATGGATTAATACCAGCAAATCACCATGAATATAAAGTGGTTTATTTACTTTATAAAGATTTAATTGAACAAAACGAGAAAATATTTTCATTTAGGGGAATATAGGACTCACTTGCTTATTTCATAATTTTTACCTAATGCAAAAGTTGGTTCGCAAACATCTAGAGGAAAACTATTATTTTATATATTATCATTATATATGTGATAATGCTTCATATAGAAAGAAATACATGAAAATAAATCTTATATAATCATGTGTTTCTTTATGGAGTTATTTTTCAAAGAGTAGCCAAATTTTAAACTTATGTTCAAATAATATAAATTAAATAATGATATACCGTTATTGCAGTTATTGAAAATACGAGTAAATTAGGCTTCTACTTTTATTTGAAATTATCCCAAATTGAATGTGGATTATGGGCAACAACCACTAAAATCGTACCTACCTAATAATCTTACTATTATGGACGCCACACACGATCAGTTCAACTGATCAGTTCAAACTAAAACTTAATATATTTTTAAAAATTAATTTTCAATATATTGAATAATCATAAAAATAACATCGGAGTTTTAAAGTTTATTTATCGATATATCGAAAATCCAATATTTTAAAAAATATCAACAGTTTTAGTTTCAACTCATCAATTGAACTGACCGAGTGCGACAACCGTTACGATTTCTGTGGCAACAAGTTTTTGTCTATCAATCGATCCTTAAGAATGTGTGCGTGCGCAGTAAAATCATTTAAAATAATAGGTACATTACCACACATTTTGAATTTAAAAGATAAAAACGACCGAATGTTTGAGATTTTTTAATTAATTTTTCTTCACCATTTGCCTATATTGCTTATTATAAACCTTTGCAAATTTGGCCCATTATTGCAACCCTGTATTAGTATGTAAATATTTACGTGATATGTCTAGTTATTTTAACATCTAATAATTTATAGTTGTAGTTATACTGTGGTAGCTCAGGGGCTAAGCTAAATTTCGAGCAATCCGGGTTCGATCACCGCCGGCACCATTCATTGTTAATTGCAATTTGCTGATTTACCACGTGCTCGGCAATAAAGAAAAACACTACTGTTAACTTTTTCTTAATTTGTTAAATTCTTGTTAACGGAGAAAGAATTTTTATATTTCGAAGACATGTGAAGTTTGCCAACAGGCATTGGGGCAGCGCAGCGGACATTCATCATCATCATTACAGCCCTTCTCAAGTCCACTGCTGAACATAGGCATCCCCCAAGGAATGCCATAAAGCACGGTCGGACATTATCTTGCCTTAAAACCCTCTCAGAAATGAGAGAAGGCCTGTGCCCTGTGCCCAGTGGGGCGTATGTAGGCTGTAACTTTAACTTAAGGGTTGACTGGAAGAGAATGTCATTAGCCCTTAAGTCCGCCCAATGTAACCCTTACTTTTACAGTAATAAATAAAACCCGTGAAAGTAGCCTTATTTATTTAATTATCCATTTAATACCCTATTCCGCTTGTGGCGGGCGGCCTGGTGGAGAGCGTCGCGATTAATTGCGCGAGCCACCAGTAGAGCAGTGTGTGGACAAAACGGGCAAATCCGCGGCAGCGCGAGGAGCAGAGCCATAAAGGTTAGAGAACAGGAGAACGATCGCTGTAGAAAATAGTGTCCTAGAAATATGGACACCATAAGTGAGGTGCTTACGGAGCATGAAAATTTATCATTAAAAATGAAATGAAAATTTTTACGTTATTCAACTAACTTCATCTACTTGTACTCATAAACAGCTAACTTCGCAGTCACTAGACACCTACGTCAGCGCCGCTATATTATATTCTACAATTTTTAAGGACAGGCGGGCTATACTTTAGTACGTAGTGATTGTTCTACTGTTCTCTAAACTTCATGAGCAGCGCGAGAAACATATTGTGGCGGAGTGGAGCCATAAGATATAAAAATTATTTTTGCTTTAAACCTACTTCGGAATCAAATGCACGCTTGTGAGTGCACATCTCATACAGTAAGCAACCGAGTGCCCAAACGTCGCTTTTGGTATCATAAGGTTTACCCTCACAAAGTTCAGGTGCAAGATAATAAGGTGTACCAATTACCGTTGAAGTTTTCTTTGCACTGAAATAAGAAACAGGTTACATGCTTCATTACATTATAATGGCAAAAGTTAACCTATTTCTATACCTTGTAACAGCCCATCAAAGTCTACTCTGAACATGGAATCCCCTTACAGATTACAATATCAACAAAGCGCAGTCCTAAGCTACTTGTATCCATCGAATCCCAGCATGTGTTGTTATCTAGTAGTACCTACTCAATCTTGGAGGGATCGCTTTACACTGCATTTGCTATCGTTTGTAGATTTTTAGAGCTATACGGCCACATTAGCTTACTAATTCGTTTGCTTAAGTATGTCAGTATAGAGTGTAGAGGTAACACTCCATATAAGTCAGATTACTCGTACACGCCAGAAGAAAAGATAGTATACCTACATTTAATAAAGAACCCAAGCAGGGAGCGTAGGTACTTTGACAATTCATGTTCAATAAGGGATGTATTGGACGATATTATATAATAGTTTAAATATATAACGATTTATAAGTAGTCCATCGACAAATGGTATATTATTCTCTTGTGTTCATCGTAATATGCAAATTCTGTTCTTGCTAAGAGGCGTTTTACGGGAAAAATCGAATGTGGGGTTTTAGTTATACAATCAATTCTGCAAATTAACGTCAATATCCAACATTTGATATTTAGGTATATCCTTGAGGTTTTTCAGATATATGAAAATGGATTGTCTTTTAGTGCAAATACTTTACTAGGTTGTAGAGCTTGCTACATGGTTAAAAGTTGTATGGGTTGACGCCAAGCAGAAGTATACTGTGCTGTTTAGATTTGAAGAGTAATGGACGCCACACACGGTCAGTTACTGAACTGATCAGTTCAAACTAAAACTGCCGATATTTTTAAAAACATCGGGTTTTCGATATATCCATAAATAAACTTATATGTAAAACTCCGATATTAATATATTTATAATGATAGATTATCGAAAAGACACTATTTTAAAAAATATCAACAGGTTTAGTTTGTACTGATCAGTTTAACTAACCGTGTGTGGCGTCCATAAGAGATTCAGTGTAGTAATTAATTCTGTGAAGTCATTTGTCTAAATTCTCAGCGGTGTCTACCTATGCACTTTTTTAAGTTTATTGCAGATGTGAACAGTCTGAAGTATCTGTTTACCATCAAATGCTGCTTATTTGTCATTCCCCAATATAAGGCATAATATCAAAACATAGAAGTAGTCATATTAAACTATTCTTGATTCGTTAAAGTTGTCTATGTTACAAATGCTTACCTAGCTAGCATTTTGGATATACCAAAATCTCCAATTTTAACTATGACACCATGTTTTCCGGTTAAAAGAATATTTTCCGCCTTTAGGTCTCTGTGAATTATATCTAAGTTATGTATGTAATTCACTCCCAACAAAACTTGACTGAAATAAAATAAGATCTCCTAAAGACACAGAAACTTAAAGTTAGTCCGCATTCAACATTGCAATAATGATGAAAATATAGAATTTGGTAATCTTGCCTCTTGTATTATTAATTTTGGACATCGTTCATACATGTATTCTGCCAAATTTCCTTTAGTTGCGTATTCCATGCAAATCATTACATGATTATCTGGATAATAACAATTATAAAATTTAATTATATTGGGATGATTCATTTTTGATAAAATTTTAACTTCGTTAGCAATTTCCTAGAAAGAAAAAAACACAGCATTACAATATCATATACATATTATAACATATTACCTAATTATATTGCAAAATATTTTAGGTACCTTATTATGATTTTGAACCTTAACATTTAACTCAATATCTTTCACAATCGTCAAACATTTTTTTTCTTTGGTCGTACACAAATACACATTTCTAAAAAGTAGAAACAACACGATTTAAGGTTATATTTTTAAAATATACCTAGGCACTGCATAAAGATTAAGCCCTTACATACCCATAAGTACCTTTTCCTATTGTCCTTATAACTTTTAAATTGTAAAATCTAAATCTTTCTGTAATATCCATTTGTGTCTTTTCTTTATCATTAGAAACCAAAAACGTTTTATAAACTGTTATAAAAGTTCATCTACCCTCGTCTGAAAATATATAGTTGGGTACATAAGTAGGGTACTTTAAAATAACTTGTTAAATTTTATCATACATACTACCATTATTATTAAGAAATATAATTACTAATACTACCAATAATGGTATAGTGGATTCTTACATCGCCACTACACAGGTAAAAATTGTACAACTTAAATCTTTGATTTGATTAATATTCCAGCTATACATCACAATGTTTTACGATTAATAAATTTTAAGATATACATTATAAAGTTTACTTTGCTATATGAGTTATTCCGCCTAATCAGCAGTAGTTATGAAAATAATCCAATAGGTAATTCTTTATGAGAAAACCAAAAAGCATAAAATAATCACTATTTTAGGGATGACAATAACATTCCTTTTATGTTTAACTTGTGTTAAAGTTCTCGTACTTGGAAAGATATTTACGAATTTGATATTTTTAACTTAACCATTGGCCGGGTCTACACCGGACGACGGCGAAAACTAAACAGGCACAGCCTTCTCATTAAGTGTTGTGAGATAAAAAGTTGTATTTTTATCCAAAAACCAGGCAGACAGACAAACTGAGGCAGCATGGGGAGATAACATAGCGTATTTAATAGCGCGCTAGTATAGTTTATAGTCAGTGGCATGCTATTGATTTATAGTCGTTTTGAACAACTTTAGTGCCTACTCACAAACACCATCTGAGACTGGCTTTGACCTGGTAAGGTCTTTCAGCCGTATGGGAAGCGACCACCCTTAGGGAAAGGGGGCGTAGAAGTGGTAGTACGAAGCTATTCTACTATACTCGATAGGACGATTTAGGCTTCGACGTGTTTCGCTTGTGGCGCAACAACAGCGCCACCACAGTATAAACAATCGATGTCGATATGTATTAACTTTTGATTGAGGTGGCAGCACTGATTATTAGTAATTAGATTTTTTAAGATTATTTCAATTGTAATTAAAAGTACCTAATAGTTTTCTAAGAAGAAACGAAGTTTTTTATCATACCAATTTTCTACGGCGATAAAAAAATATATTTTTATTTAAAATAAAAAAAAATACGAAATGTTTTTTATATTTCATTATAGACCTTAAAATAGCCTAGCATTCTTCCATTATTCATTCAGATATTTGATGAAAAATATAAAATGTCCCTAGATCCTGTTGATGTGTTTATGTTCGCGGGTGGAAATTTAGCAAAATATAAAATCTAGTATGTCTTTGGCTGGGTGGGCACAGACAAACAGAACAGGCCGGTGGGGGCATATTCCTAGTTAGCCTAGTGCTGGCGGAACTCTAAATCAGGTACTGAACGTAACCTGATGCGCAATGTATTAACGCCGCAGTGCCCGTCTAGTAGAATACATAGAAGTCTTTGCCATTTTATTGGCGTCATTTTAACGCGGTGTCCAACCTGTCCTTGAAGTTACAGCCCGTATACGTCCCACTCCTGGGCACAGGCCTTCTCTCATTTCTGAGAGGGTTTTTACTGCAAGGAATAGTCCGCCGCGCTGCCCCAATGTGTGTTGGCGAGCTTCAAATGTCACCGAAATATTTTTTCTTATTTCTCAGACATGCAGGTTTCCTCACGATGTTTTCCTTCACCGCCGAGCATGTGGTAAAAGCACTTAAAATTGCAATTAGCAATTTCATTGGTGCTGGCGGGGACCGAACCAGGTTTACTATTGTGAAATTTACAGCGCGCGCTAACCATCGAGCTACCACGGCTCTTCCGTCCCTGTCCTTACACATTATTATATAAGTCCATCCATGAGGAATGGTGACCAAATGTTGTCGATAATTAGATCGAGAATTGTATTGTATGAATGCCTCGATACGCCTTTTTTCCGATACGATACCGAAGCTCATATAAAAATATCGACGATACCGATACCGATACGCTTAATGAATTCGAAAATGATGATAAAAATTAGATACATACTCATTACTCAATTTTGTATTTATACAAATAAATGGTTTCAATAAATCCCTACTAAATTAAAAAGTATTTTGACCATTTTCATTTTCTCTAAACTTTTTTTTTTAGAAGAGACGTCGTAGCTTTAGTGGTAACTTCGTCGTCCATCTCCTATAAATAAATTAACTGTTAATGCTTAATATGCGAAAGGTAAGGTGCGAACTGCGAACGGGTCTTGTACTGAAACTCTCGTCTATTTTTACCATTCGAGACATTTAGCAATTTCATTCCAGTTACTACAGTGGTGCTCAAGTCCATTTGAATGACCTTTCAAGCAAGTTGAAGTATAAAGCTATTTTTATTGAATTTATGTTTCAAACCGCGATAGCTTTTATTGCTCGACACCATCACACTACAATACACCATAGAGGAAAGTAGAATATACAAAGTGTTACGGCCCTCAGTTACCCCGACAAAAGTAGATAGTATTAGGGCCCATCAGTAATCCAACTCGACGAGCAACCGAGGGGAGGGCCCAATGACCTATGGATAATTAATTTATAACGGCTGTATAAGCAAACACAAACTTATCGAATTCCAGATGTAGGGTCGACCACAAGGCGCCGTCAGGGGCAAATAAATGCTATGTGTGAGTGGTGAAGGTAAGTGTATAATGTAACCTGACATCACCGATGTAATCGTTCAGCAAACCCACATTCGTTGCCACGCTCCACAAGGCACTCACCGCTATCGGAACTCAAGTCTAACGTCACTTAGCACAAACTATAATCGAAGATAACCCTATCTCCTACCGGATCACAAAGTTTAGCGTTCCACACGACAAAGCAAAATTCCTTCTTACGATATTAACTACACAAGCCACTCGTCGACGCAAATTAATAGCAATCGAAGTTAAAATAGTCACTTAAAACTCAAAAGAAAAGCCTCGTTGTCACGTGTATTAACGAAATAAAACAACACAATGGAGGCCGTCGTGATGCGACGTATCAATTCTTATCAAACTCGCGACCTCCAATCGAACGAATGTTCTAGACTAATTTTCCGACCCCCCACCGGCACGGCTGCAGCGCTCAAAGATTCTTGCAGACTGCCGGGTACCGCCGTAGGCGCAAGCGAATGCCCCCCTCCCACGCAACGCCAAACCGGTTCCTCACCCGGGACGCGCGCCTTGTAAGCTTCAAATGCCACAACTTGGCGTAAACACAAAGTAATATATAAAGTAAAGTATAAAGGCGCGAGCGCCTGTTTACGTTCCGTTCGAGTACTCGACTCAAATTGTATTCGTGTAGACTATAATTTTTTCTCTCGAGTACGATTTTTTTTATACTCGAGTCACTTGTGCAAAATTGTAATATTCGAATCTCACCACCAGTGTTTTCTTGTTCAGTGTACTCATGTCATCGTTTTTAAAAACATCGATGTTTGAACGCGACAAACATCAATACGTAATAAAAACTATACATCGATGTTTTAATTATCTCATCCATCACACAAAATTTATTAAATAAATTAATTAAAAAAAAAAAGAGGCCCCCCTCGGACGCGCGAGGGGGGGCTTTTTTTTTTCTCTCTTCCCGGGCCACCCCACACAGGAGGCGCCCCCCCAACGGGCGGCCGGCTGTCCGCACCCCACCAAAAAAAAAATAAAGAACATTTTCACTATTGAACAGATTTATTTATTTTAACGTGATAATTTTAATATGCAATTTAAGAAGAGACATACATAAAGGAACTCAATTCAATTTTCTAAACAAAGTTTTGTAAGTATGTAGCTTTAATTTAGACGTACCTAACGTTAACTAACCTAATAATATAATACCATACTTAATATACTACATAGGTACATAAAATATGTGTTTGTTCCAATTTAACAATTGTTAAATTATTTAGGAAAAGATGCTTGGATAATCTAGTCCCCAAAAGCCTATTTTTGTTTTGTGTGATGAATGCCCCAGCCTCCGAGAACAAACGCTCGCTTGACATCGACGATGCAACGATTAGCAGAGGACATAAACGGAATGAATGAACGATGTCGTTATCTAACAGTTTTGCCGTCGATGTACCGACGATGTATAACATCTATTTAGTAACGATACATCGATGTTTTGCAAATATCGAGAACATGTATTTATCGTTTGTATCCCTACACTACATAAAGTAGGTACACAAAATAAAAATACCATAATACGTTAGTACTCTTATTCACAGAACAGAACAATATTACTCCTATCGGAGCTCTTATTAGTTTGTGAAAAATACATACCTAATGTATTTATATTTATCGTATGTAATAGGTATTACCTATTACACGCGTAATAGGTTTGTTGTATCTTATGTAGATAAAAATTTAAATACTTTATAAACAAGGAGGGTACATAAAAACTGGTCCTTGAAAATTCTAAAAAGTAGCCGTGTGGCCTTGAGCCTACATTTTCAATTTCTCTGGACTGAGACTATTAATTCGACGTCACAATGGGACAAATATTGGGTTCATACAACGCTCGAAATGTAGATCTTTACATGGACGATAAGCCTACTTTCAATCACCAAGATGGATTTTCTTTCGAACGAAAACAACGAGGTGAGTTTTGTTCGTTATCTTTACATTAGGTACATAAAACAAAAGATACTTTAATGAAAATATATTGTCATTTGTCACAGCACTTGTTTTTAGTAGTACATTTCCAATTGTTACATAATTTTACGGAGGTTAATTGTCCTGTCATTTTCAACTACAATTTTCTTTAAAAATGCCTGTTGTAATTTAGTTTCTGGTCTATTTTAGAAATGATAGCACGAGAGGAAGACTTAATTTCTGCTAGAATCCCACCAGCAAAGCGCGACTATTGTGCTCATTACTTACTGGAATACCAGCAGTGCCGATATAAAAATATGCCAATGCTTTACAGATGTGCTCATGAGAAACACGATTATTTGAATTGTGAACAACAGGAGTAAGTTTCATGCATGTCCAATCTTAATGTTTATAATCAAGATGTTATGATTA